GCTGGAGGTAAAATGCAGATCATTTTGTTACCTTTGCAATCTTGGCCCCACCTTCCCTTCTAAACCCTGCCCCTTCCCCCATGCCCAGCCTACCCTCTCCAGCTACACTGCACGTCGCCCCAGGGTGGGCTGCCCCACCAGGTCTACCATCCTCTCCAAGGAGCCCCCTTCCTCTTCTGAATTCCTCCTCGAACTCTTTCTTGGCGCTCTGCACATACCACCTTTTATAATCATAACTTTACAGTCAAACGTCTCTCCTACTAGACGCAAGCGCCTGGAGGGCAGGGGTGCTGCCTGTTCTCCGGTGTTAAGTACATAGAGCCTGACACATAATTAGTGCTGGCTCCGAAAGTGAATGACACTCCCAGAATAGAAGCAGGCCACAGAAATGTGCAAGCCTCTGAGTAGCATGCAGCCAAGGCAAAAATAGGGGCAAGCAGTTCTGGGTGTGCTCACTTATAATCCACCAGGACGTGGGGCCGAGCTGTGGGAAATACCACCTAATGGGAAACCTGACATGAGCAAATCGCAGAGCCCACTCGAGTCGTTGGCCGAGTCTGTGGTTTCCGCATGAACATCCCACCCAGAGCTAGGATGTTCTTGTACGTGAGAACAAGGGGTGGCAAAGAGACAGTGGGTCATAGGTGCTCCCACAAGGGATGGGGCATCCAAGGATGGGCAGGAGACTCCAGAGTTACCTGGGGACGCAGAGGGGCTGGAGTCTTCCCCTGCTCACTGCACCAGCCTCCACCCAAGATCCACGCTCCAGAAGCAGCACCTCTGGAAAGCATCCAAGCGGTCAGTCCTTACCCCAGGCCTCTCTCCCAACACTCAAGCCCTCCTGATCCCCGGATCCAGCCCGGAGAACGCAGGGTCTGGACTGATCAATCTGATTAGTTAATCAATTAGCCTATTGTCTGTTAACTTAAACTTATGGTGATCATCAGGGATTACCTCATAAACACTTGCTTAGTTAACACATTCAAACTGAAATAAAAACTTCAATTAAACTGAACATGCACTACTACTGTTCAGGGTCTTAAGGAAGGAAAAAGAAAGAGGGAGAGAAAGAGAAAAAGAAGGAAGTGTCTCTGAGAAGGGCCTCCTACAGGGCAAACTTCTAATTAAACAAATCATCAATTTCAACACCACGAAAACTGATTTCGGAGTAAAACTTTGGTATTCCAGCCACTGAAAGGAAGGCCTCATGGGGTGAGGATCTCAGCCAGGGCTGATCTCCTCGGACAGGGAACCTCGGAGGCGAGGAGGGACGCAACGCAGGAAAGAGGAAAGCGGAGAAGAAAGAGTGAGCAGGAGCGGTTTTATCCTTTCAGAAATCATCTCTCCGCAGAATCCAATGAGGCCTGTTCTCAAGCATCGGAGAAACTCCTTCTTGCTTCCTCCTTCACCCCACCCCTACCAGATGAGAAAAAAAAAATTAATCGTGTATGATGACAAACTTGGCTCAGCACTCACTGTACACACTGTACCCACAGGGCTGGCGCCCGGCCAGGCCTGGCCCCGCGCCAGCGCGACAATAACAAACACGGGCCACGCTCGCCAAGAGGGGGTGGGGCAGCGTGCAAGAGCCCGAGGAAGTCAGCGCCGACGCCTCGCAGCTCCGAGAGGAGGATAAACAGCAGGAGGGAGCCTTGGGAGGGCAGCAACAAGGTTTAAGGGGAGCCAGGAGCATCCCGACCCCGACCCAGAGCCCAGGCTCCCCTCTCCGAGGCCTGCCCCCTTTTTTGAAAACATGGTCCCCTTGGTGGGCTTCTGTAAGGTGGGTCCGGTCTGCAGACCCTCAGGGGCCATTCTTGCTGTCAGCTCCCTGCATGGAGCCTTCAAAACAGAGCAGCAAGAAAATCTTGGGTCATCTAATTAAATGTCTCCTTTAAAACCTCACATATAGTTCTGATCTCGAGCAACCCAGAGGGGAGAAGCCGGAACATGTAAAACCTGACTTCTGCTACTGGAATCCAGGAGAAGGCCTGGCACCACCAGCCTGGCCCTCTGACCCCACCTCCCTGACTCGGCCAGGTCTCTCCCTGGGGACTTGGGACCTTCACTGCTTCACAAACAGTTCCGGAAGGGTTCTAGCCTCACTCAGCCCTTGTTGCTGTTTTATTTTCAAGCCATTCTGGCACAGGGCTGAGAGGTATGTGGGACCTGAGAAAGAAAAAAACAGAAACTAGCAACATCAGAGTTGAAGCAGACTATGTCCAATCTGCAAGGGGGAGTGAAGGCACTGCTGTGACCCGCCATACCTCCCCCATCACCGAACCCTCTTTCACAAGGGCAGTGGCAAGTGAGTTTCAGACAGACAAATCATCTGCACGATCAGACTTTGGGCACAGAGAGGAAAGCCTGGGAAAACAGGCCGCAGCTCCCAAGGCTGCCAGGGTGTCCGTCTGAGACCATGGGACCTTGAAGGCGCATCTCAGCCCCAGGGTGGTGCAAAGTCACTCGTCTTGTCCGAAGTGGGGGCTCTGGGCCCACCTGAATGTGTGTGAGCAGCTCCTCCCTTCCCTGCTGCCCTCTCCAGCCCTACCAACACCGCTGCACTGTGCTGTGATGTGGAGACCTCGGCTAACTCACACTCAGCCAACACGGGCCAGTGGGCCCCTGGCTGCCCTCCAGTGAACCCCTGGGGCACAGTCTAAACACTTCCTATTGCAGGAGACAGCCGGTGGGAGACTGGGGTGTCCTCGAGCTGCCCTGCCTCCCAGGCTGTAGCCATCCTTCCAGCCCGTATCTACAGATGCCAGGCATGTGCCAGGTACTGCACTATGCATCGTGGGGACAGACTTGGTCCCTGAGTAGCTTATTCTGGTCCATGAGGTTCGGAGGCTCAGTGGGTCTACATTTCTCACCCAAGGTCACACGGTAAGAGGTAGATGCCCAGATTCCTAGCCCTGACTCCCATGTAGGGGGAGATAAAGCAAGTCCACAAATACCACAATGCAGAGAAGAAAGATCACACCCAAAGATAGAGAAACACGGAACCCAGAAGGAGGCATGATCGCTTCTGGCCGGAGGCGGGGAATAGTCAAGGATGGTGCTGCGGAAGATCTAGGAAGATTGGCGAAGGGTTAGTCCACGCGGTGGGAAGGGGGTGAACGAAGCCGCAGAGCTCAGAAAGCAAGCTGTGCTGGTCTGTCCTCAGAGCAAACCGACAAGGCCACAAGTCTGGCTAGACTCAAGGAAAGACCACGGAGAAAGGACGCTTACTGGGCCGAGTGTCACAGAAGGCGAGGAAGCTCTAACCACAGGCTGTGTTACCCGCGTCGACGAGTCCAACACCACGTGACTGCAGACCACACGGGGGCCTGGGGCAGGGAGCGAATGAAACGGAAGACCCACACTCTGCGCTTGGGGAGGGCGGCCAGGCTGTGGGCAGACAGCTTATGAAACCCCACACTAAACCCTGAACAACCTACAGAGACGTAAGGGAGCAAGAAGATTTGAGGGGCAAATTATAAAAGAAGGCAAGCAGAGTGCACAGGTCCCAAGCAGATACGCCTGGACTCGGGACTCCGGGCCAATGAGGGACAGGAGTGGGGATGAGGAGGCCAGTGGAGCCAGATATGAGGGTGGGGGAGGCCCCCAGGGTAGGAGGAATGGAGCACGAAGACATGGGGACACAGCAAGGCAGACAGCCGCCTGATGTAGCCCAATCCCTGGATCTGGAAGTGGGAAGAATGGGAAGTGAGGAGGAGTTAGGGCACTTTATGAAGGGCCCTGAAGGCCAGGAAGAGAGACAGCATCCCACGCAGAGCAGAGCCACAGGTGCTCAACAGCAAGGCAGAGGCGAGCGACCAAACAGCCTCTCCATCACTTTACAGGAGATGGATGCGGTGCGGACAGACGGCAAACAGCCAGACTGTCCCCGACAGGGGTGCAGTGATGGGAGCACACCCCACGACAACTTCAGAACTGGGGGGAATGGAGGAAGGTGGAAGCAGAAGCAACCGACATTTATTAAACATCAACTGTGTAGGTGCCTTTAACATACATTCTGTTACCTAAATATATGAATTAGCAACACCTGCCCTTTACAGATGCAGAAACAGGGGTTCGGAAGACAGATCTGCCCGAGGTCACAGAGTTAGCACGTATCACAGGCAAGACGTGAGCCTTCATCTGCCCCACCCCAAAGTCCACACTCGTTTCACCAACGCTGAACCACCACCTGCCTGGAGGGCCACGTGCTGGAGGTAATACGGGCAGGAACAACAGGCGCTGACAGTGGACTGGCTGGGGGAGAGCGCGATCAAATAAGGAGACAGCCCTCTCCTCCCCCCCGAAACGTGACTCCGAGGTTGAAAGGCAGGGCATTAGAGGGGTGGGCATTATTAGCCCTGGCAGGGAAGTGTAGCGGCTTCTACAAATGAACCCCGGCAACCCCTTGGCCTCAAAGCAGCAGCAGCAGACCTGGCGTGTCCTTCCCTCCACCGCGAACACCTGGGCCCGCTGCATGTCAGTGCCTCTCCCCTTTCCACGCCTCATGGGACAGAGAAGCTTTGCCCAAACACAAGCAGAAATGCCAGCAGCCGCGCAGTCGACCCCACTAGAATTGGATAAAATTAACTTGCAAGAGACAGCACGCTGTAACTAGCTTTGTGTTCCAACCTTTCTATATCTATTTAATTAAAGGCTCCTGTATAATGTGAACCCAATAGTCAGATTCATTAGACAGCGAGAACCTAATTCCACAACTGTTCTGCTAATGAAACTGCAGTCTACTTCGGAAGGTGGATCACATGGGGCACTGGGTACCAGTGATGCCCCGGGAAGCCCAGGAGAGCAGGAGGATGGGTTCATCCAGACGGTCACATGGTCCGGATGGACTTTCTGCTCCAGGAACCTGGAGGGAGCATCCACGGGACAAGGTGACCAAGGCCGGGCTGGCAGTGGGGACATCTGTGCTCTGAGTGGGGACGAAGGCGGGCAGGCAGTGGCTGCCTGTGCTCGGAGGGGCCAGTCAGGGCACCCTCGCCTACCTGAATGAGCCAGTAAGTGCATTCTCAGTCGCAAACTATCCAGGAACCGCTTTCCGCAGAGCTCACACCCGTACGTCTTCATCCCACTGTGCAGCTTCCTGTAGGGGAAAGGAAAAGACAGGTTGCTGCTGCTCTGGCTGGACAGAAGGCAGGCCCACCCCTACCTGGGGGCGCTGCAGCCATCCCTCCAGCAGGTGAACGAGAGGAAGGGAGGCTGAGGGCTTGGGAGCTGGAGGTGGGCACGGACGGAGACACATCCCTGGGTCCGCAGACAACCTAAACTGCCCCCTTTCCCCGTGGACAGTTTGCCAAAGAAGAATCTATTCCTGGTCTGATCCAAGGGCCAGAAGAATAGGGCACTTCCTATGCTTCACCTACTGACACACAGATCAAGGGGAAAAAAATATAATCAGATTCAGTTTCAGAGGGAGGGAGGAAGGAAAAAGCAGCAGGACAGGAAGACAGACATGACCCTCACAGTCCAACAGCACAGACCGTACGTGGAGGCCACTGGGCCTCTGCTGGCCTCTCTCACTGCGTTGTGCACATACCTGGCTCCCCGCGGAGACCATTAGACCCAGGGCGGCAGCACCTCTACCATCTTTCTTGCATATCCCGGCTCCCACACAGGGACTGGCACGTGGTAGGCTCTGAATAAGCTTATTAATAAATTGATGCCTCCAGGAACACAAGATGCTCCTCTCTTGGGGCATCTAGATGCTCTTAGAACCGCAGTCACCCCCCCAACACACAGAGCTGTCCCCAAAGGCCCAGCCTTTTTTGTTTTTGTTTTTTCATTCGGAGCATAGTTATTTACAATGTTGTGTTAGTTTCTGGTGTACAGCATAGGGATTCAGCCACATTTATTTTTTCATATTCTTTTTCACTGTAGGTTATTACAAGCTATTGAATATAGTGCCCTGTGCAACACCATAAGACCTGGTTGTTTTATCCACTTTATATACAGTAGTTCGTGTTTGCTAATTCCAGACTTCTAATTTCTCTCTCCACCCCTCATCCCTTTTCCCCTTGGTAACCAACAGTCTGTTTTCAGTTTGTGATATCATGTGACATTGTCCATCTGACTTATCACTTAGCATGATAACCTCTAGGTCCATCCATGTTGCTGCGAATGGCATTATTTCATTCTTTTTTATGGCTGAGTAGTATTCCTGTGTGTGTGTGTGTGTGTG